ATTTTGAGTTGGAAGTCTAAGATTTCTTCCATGCATGTATCAATTTCACTTATATTATAGCCATTCAACTTATTTTCCATCAAATTATTAAGTTTGGTTATGTTTTGGAGGGTTTGAATTCAAGGAGATTCTTGCATGTTGAATTAATAGCATATTCATAAAGTTCAGGTTGATTTTACTCAAATTAGGTTGCTCTTAGGCCATGATTTCTTGAAATGATCCTTCAAACATGTTGTTCTATGGGTTATTAAGCGTTTTCCAAAGATTTAGCCCAGAAAAATGAGTTTTGGATGGTTGAAGGTCGAGTTTCGTGCTCGGAGGTCAATCTGGATTTTCTAGAATTTTGACCTACGCTCGAGCGGGGACTTTCACACTCGAGCGTGAAGCCTGAGTACATGCACTTCCGCTTGAGTGGTGAGAGTCACGCTCGAGCGTGAAATGCGTATAGCCAGAAGTTTGTGTGTTTTGTAGTACCTTCGAGCGGGGGAAACCACGCTCAAGCGAGGGTCTGGGTCACACGCTCGAGCGGGGGTCGAGCGCCCGTCGAGCGTGAATTTCATGCATCAAGCACTTTTTCATTAGTTTGCAGTCCGCTCGAGCGGAGAAGTCCACGCTCGAGCGGAGATCCATTTTTCTGCATGTCCGCTCGAGCGGGGAAATCCACGCTCGAGCGTGGACCTTATTTTCAGCAAAATTTGTGAAATGGTTTTCAGGGCACTTTTGCATCTTCATTCCATCCTAGGCATTCCTAGGCCATGTTTAAGACCCCATGTAACAACCCTCATACTGTTTACTGATTAATGACTGATTGATTACCGATAATCACCGATTACTGTAAAACGGAACTGATAATGACTGATAACTGACTGAGAATTGAACTGATTAAAGTACTGAACTGACTGACCGAAATTGAAACTGAATTGAGTGAATACATCTGTTTGAATTGCATTTTATCTGCTGACTGTTTGTTTGATTTGTTCGTGTTTTATGTTTAAACTATTAATTGAAGGCCTTATCGGCGGCCGAACCGGAAATGGGTTAGTGTTTTATGATCGCCATAATTAATATGAATTTATGGTATAATTATCTGAAAACTGATTAGGTATGATTAAATTAGTTTAAATATTGACCAATTGCAGAGTTGGCCTTATTTACCGAACTACCCCTAGTGGACCACTATCTCATACACACACTTGAGCCTTATACATTGAATCGAACATTTCTTTGGCCTATTTGTGAGACCCTTAGTCGACCATAGAGAGAGAGAGAGACTTGAGGAGTTGAGTTCATCTCAATATTGCTTAGAATTTGAAGAGGATTGAAGTGTAGATTGCTAAATTGAGCTCCTAGCCTTCTAATTCAGGACTTAAGGTAGAGTAATTACCATCTTGCTTATGAATTGAGCTTGTTCTTGCATGATTCATGTCAAATTAAGGAGCTAAGTCTTGTTTTAGTTCATACATGTTGAAATAGAACATAATTCATGCATGCATGTTTGAATTGTTGGATTTTGAGTTGAATCATGGCAAATTGTCACATGCATGTCCATAAATTTGTAATGGTCCATGTTTTCATCTTGTTTGTGAATCAATTGGCTCACTAGAGCATGTTTTGAAGCTTGAAAGTTATTTAAAGATCATGCATGTCATGTTTGAAGATTGTTCTTAAAAATGATTTGAAATTGAGCTTGAAGTAAACACCCTTGGGCTTTGATTTCTAAAAATTGAGCTTTGAACCATGTTATACTATGTGTTTATAAATGTTTTCCAGAAAATGGGCCCAAGAGGATCGTTTGAAAACAATCAGGAAAAATAATAGTGCAACCAAGCAGTTAAAATAATTCTGTTAAAGTCAAAACATCCAAGACTTTTCAGCTCACAGGGTTCCCACATGATGCAAAGGAAAAACTTCAGAAATCCTAGACCTTTTCTATTGTCCACTAGCAACACAAATAATCAGTACATCCAAACCTTTTATAGTGTCCATTAGCAACACAAATGATCAGTACATATAATGGTGTATTAGGCTAATCAGTTGAAACTTAAATGATGTGCGAGTAGGCTGTTAGCACATCTTTTGTTCTTTTCCCTATCAAATTATTTGCAATGATTTTAAACTCTTGTAATGCTACCACCAGCCATGGACAGATGGTAATTGTTCTTTTTAAGCTCCTTTTCATTGTTTTTCTTCGTCTGAGATTTGATCAAAGTTGGACCATTGACGCTGTATTTAGTTGGGGGATTTGAAAAGAGAAAGACAAAAGGTAGTTGAAATGTGAATAAAACATACTAATATTTTACCTAGTTTCACACATTTTTGGGTTGGCGACTGGGGAGACACGCTCTAGCTTACTGTAGCCCGAACTCTGTGAGTAACGATTGTGTAAAGATATGTTCAACTGATTATCTTTTGAATACTGAACTGAACTGTTTACTGAACTGGTATTGTTTACTGAATGAATGTATGTCCTTTATTTCTGAACTGTACTGTGGCATCTTTAGTACTTACTGTTTACTGTTACTGTTACTGCGACAGAATTCTCTGTCGGTTCCCTCGTGGAACCACTAGTGTTTACTGACTGATGGCCATCATTACTGTTCGGTCTTTCTAGACCTACTGTTACTGTTATGCTAATGGATGTACCACATATGACTGTTTACTGTACTGAACAACTGAAATACTGATTGAATTGAACTGTTTTCATTACTGTAAGGACATTTCATTCATAACCCCTTTACGCATTATGTTATTCACTGGGCTTTAGCTCACTGTTTATATATATATGTAGGTGCTCAGCCACCAGACCGGAGCTAGGAGCGTGGGTTAGACTCCAGTTTTGTCAAGCCAGCCTTTGTGCCTCACTGCGAGGTTCCGAGCCTATCGTGTTAAGGCTTAGGGGTGTTTTACAATTCCCCCTTCTGTACCGTCTACTGTTTTGTATAGACTGAATGTTTACCGTCTTGTTATCTAGGGTTGAGTCCCTAGTCTGAATGATTGTAAATATTGTGCATACCGTTCTGTACTGTTTGTATATGTGAATGCATGAAAAATCTTTTTGGCATACAGACTGACACAGCTCAATGGACATTATTCATTTACTGTATTGGCTTCTGCCAGGCGCTGTACTCTGTTTTACTGTACTACTGTTCTGCAGGCCTGTGGTAATCTCGGATTACTGGCCGGTTACGGTGCTAAACCCATAGGGCCGAGTTTGGGTCGTGACACCCCATAATGAGGATAAGAGATTAGAAACACACTTAGAGCCAACGAAATAAGTTTTGTACAATTAGAATGTGTGTTTCAAGTGTGTGTCTGTTATGTGTTATGTAGGTCACGTGTCGCGTGATCAATCTGCTCCGTCTGTCTGTTTCAAGGCCAACTGTGAGTATTAATTTAGTAAAGTTATGTTCAAACTGTATCTACTTTCTGTGTGATAAAACAAGATCTGTTTTCCGAAATGATATGTTCTGTACAATGAATGATTGTTCAATTTCTGATATGTATTCGTGACATCCTTAGCATCATGTGAAATTTGTTAGCTGTTACCCGGTATCGGAGGTTCCTTTACGAAACTTATTTCTGTCTGCAATTTGTTACCCGTACCGGAGGCCCTGTCACGGGAGTTGAGCTTCTGTTCTGTTCTGTTACCTGGATCCGGAGGTTCCTTTATGGAACTGGTTATTCATAACCCCACGTGTATACGTTCTGTTATGTTCTGTTCTGCTAATGCTAATGGATGTATCATGTAAACTTAATCATGACTTATGATTTTTGTCTGTATATGATCTGGACAAACTATGATTTTGATATGAACTGAATTATGATTTCTGAATCTGTACGAACTCATTCATTGAAACCCTTTACTCTATTATTATTCACTGGGCTTTCGCTAACAGTTTATATTATGTATGTAGGTGAGCCGGCACATGACCAGGGCCAGAGTTAACGCCCTTCTATTCCATTTTTGTCAGCCATCCGTTGTGCCTCCCGAGGAGGTTCCGATTGAGTCTAAAGCCATGGCTGTTTTTGTACTCATGCTAGTCTTTGTATGTGTTTTGTAAGGGTAGGTCTTGGGATGTAATACTTTGTAAATATTGGTGTCCTTTGACTGGCATGCTTATGTATATACATAAGTTTTGAAATGTTCTGTCCCATGTACATCATCACAGCTTATTGGACCTTGTCTAGTTTGTATTATTGCTTTCGCAGCCCCTTATTATTTGCTAATCTGTTCGGAGGCCTTTCGTAATCCACGGATTACTGGTCGGTTACAGTGCTAAACCCATAGGGGCAGGTTTGGGTCGTGAAAGAGTGGTATCAGAGCACGTGTTGTACCGCACACACAGGTCCGTATGAGCTTTGGATGTCCTAGTAAGAGTTAGGGACATTCCATCTGCATGTGTGAGTGTGTGGTAATTCAACTGAATATGAAAACTGAATGTACATTGAAATCAAATGAATTGAAAGAAACAAATAAGATTATGCCTGTGTTTATTATCATCTGATGTCTGTATAGTAAGATGGAGAATGCAAGGGGAAGTGGTGAAAGTGAATCTTCAGAGGCTCGCATGGGCCGAATGGAACATATGTTAGCAGCATTGACTGAAGCTTGGACACAGCAACAGAGACAACAACCTTTGCCCCCTCCGCCTCCACCGGCACAAGCAGAGGCAGATAATACTGACATCATCAATCTGACACAGAAATTCATAAAAATGAAACCGCCAACGTTCTATGGTGGAATTGAACCTTTGAAAGCTGAGACGTGGTTGCTTGAGATGGAAAAATTGTATGAAGTATTTCCTTGTTCTGAAACTCAGGAAGTCCTCCTAGCCACCTACACTCTGAAAGATGAAGCCCACAGGTGGTGGTTACTGATCCGAAGTGGCAATGGAAATATGCCATGGGCACAGTTTAATGCTATCTTCTACGACAAGTACTTTCCCCAATGTTTCAGGGATCGGAAAGTATCTGAATTTCAGGAACTCAAACAGGGAAGAATGTCTGTGGCGAAATATGAAGCTAAATTCACCGAATTAGCACGGTTTGCTCCACATATGGTGGACACTGATTACAAGAAAGCACGGAAGTTTGAAGGTGAACTGGATTTAGAGGTGTTTGATCGGGTAGGTGTCATAAAATTGCCTACTTATGTAGAAGTGTTAGACAGATCCTTAATGGCAGACGCCACCCTAGCCGCCATGAAACAAGGTAAAGCCCCAGCAACTACAACAACTGAGTGGAGAGGAAAAAGATCCGGGTTTGGTTTTAAAAAGAGTCGGTCCTTTGTTAGTAAGAAGCAAAACACAGGGACTTCGAACAGCTCAAGTCAGAGTACTGGGTTTATTCCGGTCTGTTCTGATTGTGGAAAAAGGCACAGGGGTGTGTACTACCGAACGTCTGGTGCTTGTTTTCGGTGTGGCCAGCCAGGTCATGTAGTGAAAGATTGCCCGCTCAGGTCTGAGACTACTAGCCGTCCTACAGCAAGTTCAGCGGGATCCGCTTCTGTGGCCAGAACCAATGCCAAAGCCAATACTGAGAAAGAACCTCTGAGACAAGGCCGTGTGTTTGCCTTAGTTCCCGGTGACGTACCGAACACCTATACTGTGGTGTCAGGTGCACTCCCTATATGTTCTCAAAATGCATGTATACTAATAGATTCTGGTTCTACACATTCCTTTGTATCGTATGCTTTCTCTTGAAAATTGACTAGACCATTAGAACTTATGACATATGTGTTATCTGTATCTACGCCGTCTGGGGATTCTATGGTGTGCACTCATATTTATCCAACATGTGGTATTATGATTGGCGATATGATGTTATATGTGGACTTATTACCCTTGGACATTAATCATTTTGATTGTATTTTGGAGATGGACTGGTTGACTAAATAATGTGCTACCATTGACTGTGCAAACAAAACTGTTGTGTTTAGACCACCAGGTATGCCTGAATTTATTTTTTATTGGGAATGGGGTAGTTCCTCCCCTATATTTGATTTCGGCTATGAAAGCTGTAAAACTCCTTAGGAAGGGATGTAGGGGTTATCTGTGTTGTATACTGACTGTACCATCTGACAGTGTTACTGTAGAAACAATCCCTGTTGCTTGTGAATTTTTCGATGTGTTTCCGACTAACTTACCTGGGGACTTAGTAGATAGAGAAATTGAATTCACTGTTGAGGTGTTTCTGAGGACACAACCTATTTCCAAGACTCCCTATAGAATGTCTACCTTTGAATTGAAAGAATCGAAAACCCAACTTCAGGAACTGTTAGATAAGAAATTTATCCGTCCGAGTACTTCACCTTGGGGTGTTCCAGTTTTGTTTGTCAAAAAGAAGGATGGATCTTTGAGAATGTGTATAGACTATCGAGAACTGAACAAAGTGACTATCAAGAATAAATACCCTCTGCCCCGAATAGATGACTTGTTTGATCAACTTCAAGGTGCCCAAGTGTTTTCCAAAATTGACCTCAGGTCCGGTTATCATCAATTAAGGGTTAGAGTTGAGGACATAGAGAAAACCGCATTCCGAACTAGATATGGACATTATGAATTTTTAGTAATGCCGTTTGGGATGACCAATGCACCTGCAGCTTTCATGGATCTTATGAATAGAGTGTTTAAATCATATCTGCATGACTTCATTGTTGTATTTATTGATGACATTTTGATCTATTCTAAAGACAGGGAAGAATATGAGAACCATCTGAGAACCACCTTGTAGATTTTGAGATAAAATAAATTGTATGCTAAATTGTCCAAGTGTGAATTCTGGCTTGACAGAGTGGCATTTTTGGGACATGTAATCAACAAGGATGAAGTTTTTCTTGACCTTCAGAAAATTGAAGCTGTTGTGGATTGGCCTAGACCGACAAATATGACAGAAGTCCGAAGCTTTCTGGGACTTACAGGTTACTACCGGAGGTTTGTGAAATACTTTTCCAAGCTTGCCATGCCATTGACTCAGTTTACTCAGAAAAATGTGCCATTTGACTGGAATGAACAAAGAGAGGAAGCTTTCCAAGAGTTGAAAACCAGGTTAGTGACTGCACCAATCTTAACCTTGCCTAATGGTATTGATGGGTTTCAAGTGTATAGTGATGCTTCCTATAAAGGCTTGGGTGTGTATTAATGCAAAATGGAAATGTGATTGCCTATGCTTCTAGACAACTCCGACCTCATGAAAAGAATTACCCAATACACAACCTTGAATTAGTAGCTGTGGTGTTTGCTTTGAAAATCTGGCGTCACTACTTGTATGGGGTAACCTGTGAAGTGTACACCGACCATAAGAGCTTGAAATACTTCTTCACCCAAAAGGAATTGAACATGAGACAGAGGCAATGGTTAGAGTTAATCAAGGATTATGATTTGCAGAGTTTGTACCATCCAGGAAAAGCTAATACCGTAGCGGATGCCTTGAGCCGAAAATCAATGGGAAGTTTGTCATGTCTGTTATCCAATCGGAAAGAATGGCTGAATGACCTAGAACAAGTTGGGTTGTTAACTGCTATTTCCTCTCAACCTATAATTCTTGACGAGATCAAACAGAAACAGTGCGAGGATGAATACTTGAAAAAGATCACGGAGGAACTTGATTCAAAGTTGAGGCCAGGATTTGTGTTTGAGAATGATGTGCTAAAATTTCAGAACCGTCTTTGTGTGCCCGATTGTTATGATTTAAGGAAACGTGTTATGACCGAAGCTCACAGTAGTAAATTTGCTATGCATCCGGGGAACACGAAGATGTATCATAATTTGAAACAGAATTTTTGGTGGCCTGGAATGAAAAAGAGTATTGCAGATTTTGTGGCTAGATGTCTACATTGCCAACAGGTTAAAGCCGAACATCAGCGACACGCTGGTTTGCTACAACCACTCCCAATACCGGAATGGAAATTGGAGCACATTACCATGGACTTCATTGTGGAATTGCCTCGTTCTTCTCAAGGTATGGACTCTATCTGGGTTATAGTTAACCGTTTAACTAAGTCTGTCCGTTTTCTGCCTGTCAAAACTATTTATAACGCTAATAAATTGGCCAATATCTATATGACTGAAATTGTGAGATTGCATGGAGTGCCAGTATCTATTGTGTTTGACAGGGACTTAAAGTTTGTATCGAGATTTTGGTAGAGTTTACAACAGGCTTTGGGGACTGAATTGAGACTGAGCAGTGCCTATCACCCATAGACAGATGGCCAAACTGAATGAACGAACCAAACTCTGGAGGATATGCTCAGAATGTGTGTGTTAGACTTCCAAGAGAATTGGGAGACCTACTTGCCATTAGCTGAATTTGTGTACAACAATAGTTACCATTCAAGCATTGGAATGGCTCCCCACGAAGCTTTGTATGGAAAAAAATGTTGTTCTCCGATATGTTGGGCTGAAGTAGGTGATAGACCTTTGTTGGGACCGGAACTTGTGCAAGAAACAACCGAGAAAGTGAAACTGATATAGCAGCGTCTGAAAACCGCACAGAGTCGACAGAAGAGCTATGCTGATGTTCGAAGACGAGATAGGGAATATGAAGTTGGGGACCATGTGTTCATTAAAGTGACACCAATGAAGGGTCAAACTCGGTTTGGTGTTAAGGGAAAATTGGCGCCAAGGTATGTTAGACTTTATGAGGTCCTTGAAAAGATCAATCCAGTGTGGTATCGGGTAGCCTTGCCTCCGGTAATGGAACATATGCACAACGTCTTTCATGTATCGATGCTTCGGGAATATTTGAGAGATCCACTCCACGTCATTGAACCGACACATGTGCTTTTGAACGATGACTACACCTACGAGGAAAGACCTATTCAAATTGTGAACCGCAGGATCAAAAAGTTAAGGAATAAAGAAATACCGTTGGTGAAAGTTGATTGGCAAAACCACGGAGGAACCTATGCAACTTGGGAAACCGAGGAAGACATGATGAAGAGATACCCGGATTTGTTCCCACTGGACACAATGTTGATTATGAATGAAGGTAATTCGAGTTTGGAGGACCAAACTCTTTTAAGGGGGGAAGACTGTAATGACCCCGACCTCCGATTAATGCTAAACCATGATTAATCATGCCTAACAGTAATTTAGAAGGAATCCGGAATTAAATTGCATGTGTGTCGCATTGTTTTTGTGTTTCTATCTGTTTGTGATAAAATGATATGTTCGTGTTTTATGTTTTAAATTGCGAATTGAAGGTCGTATCGGCGCCCGATTTCGAAATCGACTTGATCTATATACTAGTTAGGATTTACAGAATTTTATGGTAGGTTGAATTAAAAATTGATTTAGAGTGATTAAATTAGATTAAATAAAGCTAAAATAACATTAGTTGAGTTATTTCATGAATGCCACCTAGTGGATTAATTCAGGGGCCCATTTCTTCTCACACCTTACACTTGTTTAACACACCATCCTTCACTCCATCTTCTTGCTAAACCGTGAAAGAGAGAGAGAGTGTGAGAGAATTGATTTCATCTAGAGTTGCTTGGAAAATTAGGGGAGATTGAGGAAGACTCGGGAGATTGAGCCTCTACACTTAGAATTCAAGACTTGAGGTAGGCATTCACCCTATTAATTATGGAATTGATTTGTTAATGTAAGAATTCTAGTGAATTAAATGGACTCATGTTAGGTTTAAGCTAAGATTGGTGAATTGAAGCTCAATACATACATGCATGTGTAATTCATAGCACTTGAGTTGTTCTTCTAAGGAATCCATGCATGCATGCACAAATTTCCATATTTTGAGTTGGAAGTCTAAGATTTCTTCCATGCATGTGTCAATTTCGCTCATATTATAGCCATTCAACTTATTTTCCATCAAATTATTAAGTTTGGTTATGTTTTGGAAGGTTTGAATTCAAGGAGATTCTTGCATGTTGAACTAATAGCATATTCATAAAGTTCAGGTTGATTTTACTCAAATTGGGTTGCTCTTGGGCCATGATTTCTTGAAATGATTCTTCAAACATGTTGTTTTATGGGTTATTAAGTGTTTTCCAAAGATTTGGCCCAGAAAAATGAGTTTTGGATGGTTGAAGGTCGAGTTTTGTGCTTGGAGGTCAATCTGGATTTTCCAGAATTTTGACCCACGCTCGAGCGGGACTTTCACGCTCAAGCGTGAAGCCTGAGTACATGCACTTCCGCTCGAGCGGCGAGAGTCACGCTCGAGTGTGAAATGCGTATACCCAGAAGTTTGTGTTTTTTGCAGTACGCTCGAGCGAGGGTCTGTGTCACACGCTCGAGCGGGGGTCGAGCGCCCGTCGAGCGTGAATTTCATGCATCCAGCACTTTTTCATTAGTTTGCAGTCCGCTCGAACGGGGAAGTCCACGCTCGAGCGGATATCCATTTTTCTGCATGTCCGCTCGAGCGAGGAAATCCACGTTCGAGCGTGGACCTTATTTTCAGCAAAATTTGTGAAATGGTTTTCAGTACACTTTTGCATCCTCATTCCATCCTAAGCATTCCTAGGCCATGTTTAAGACCCCATAATGAGGATAAGAGATTAGAAACACACTTATAGCCAACGAAATAAGTTTTGTACAATTAGAATGTGTGTTTCAAGTGTGTGTCTGTTATGTGTTATGTAGGTCACGTGCCACGTGTCGTGTGATCAATCTGCTTCGTCTGTTTGTTTCAAGGCCAACTGTGAGTAATAATTTAGTAAAGTTATGTTCAAACTGTATCTACTTTCTGTGTGATAAAACAAGATC